TTTTTTTTTTGAGGCAGAGTCTCACTTTGTTGCCCCTGGTAGAGTGCCATGGTGTCACAGCTCAGCACAACCTCAAAGTCTTGGGTTCAGGCGATTTCTTGCCTCAGCCTCCTGAGTAGCTGGGATTATAGGCGCCTGCCACAACACCCAGGTATTTTTAGAGGTGAGGTCTTGCTCTAGCTCAAGCTAGTCTCAAACTTATGAGCTCAAGCGATCTGCCTGCCTCGGCCTCCCAGAGTGCCTGGGATTATAGGCATGAGCCATCATGACCAGCCCTTTCTTTTTTTTGAGATAAAGTCTTACTCTGGTGCCCAGGCTGGATAGTCACGGTGTCAGCTTAGCTCACAGCAACTTCAAACTCCTGGGCTCAAGGGATCCTTCTGCCTCAGCCTCCCAAATAGCTGAACTACAGGTGCCTGCCACAATACCCAGCTAATTTTTCTATTTTTCATAGAGAAGGAGGTTTGACTCTTGCTCAGTCTGGTCTCAAACTCCTGATTCCAAGTGATCCTCTTGTCTCAGCCTCTTGGGGTGCTACGTAGGATCAGAGGTATAAGCCATTGTACCAGGCCCATTTCAAAAGTTTAGATACTTTATAACCACTGTACCAAAGGGCAAAAATTTCTTTTTATATAAATTTTATTTTGAGACAGTCTCACTCTGTTACCCTAGGTAGGGTGCCATAGTGCCATCACAGCTCACAGCAACCTCAAATTTTGGGGCTCAAGGGATCCTCCTGACTTAGCCTCTTGAGTAGCTGGGACCACAGGCATCTGCCACCCATCCAGTTAGTTTTTCCTATTTTTAGTAGAGATGGGGTCTCACTCTTGCTCAGGCTGGTCTCAAACTGAGCTCAAGCCTCCCAAAGTGCTAATATTATAAGTGTGAGCCACCATACCCAGCATTTTCATACAAATTAAATTCAAGTTCTATTCTAAAAATGCTATTCAAATTCTATTCAATTTCTGCACTGTTTATGGTAAAATGAATGAACTACCTATTGCAGGAAATACAAACTAATAAAAAGAGCCTAGAGAGCTGAAAAACAGGGTAAGAGATACCATTTTTTACATCTAGCCACTTTTGTGCCTTTAAAATTGCATACCATACAGATATAATATCAATTCAGAAAGATTTTTTTCTAGAGTCTCACTTTGTCACCCTCAGTAGAGCGCCCTGGCGTCACAGCTCACAGCACCTCCAGCTCTTGGGCTTAGGTGATTCTCTTGCCTCAGCCTCCACAGCAGCTGGGACTACAGGCGCCTGCCACAATGCCCAGCTATTTTTTGTTGCAGTCTGGCTGGGGCAAGGTTTGAATTGAATCCACCATCCTCGGTATATGGGGCCAGAGCCCTACTCACTGAGCCACAGGTGCCACCCAATAGTTTTCAGGGTTTTTTTTGTTTGTTTATTTTATAGAGACAGATTCTCATTTTCACCCTCGGTAGAGTATGGTGGTGTCACAGCTCACAGTAACCTCCCAACTCCTGGGCTTAGGCGATTCTCTTGCCTCAGCCTCCTGAGTAGCTGGGACTATTAGGCGCCTTCCACAATGCCCGGCTATTTTTTAGTTGCAGTTTGGCCAGGCCGGGTTTGAACCCGCCACCCTCGGTATATGGGGCCGGCGCCGTACTCACTGAGCCACAGATGCGCCCCAGAGAGATTTTCTTTCTTTTTTTTT